TGTTCTCAACCTCCTTCCATATCCTCTCTCACTGCAGCATATTAAAAAACATATTTTATGTATTTAGTAATAATTTTCATGATTGTACAGTGGCAGAAACAGATGCCAATGTTTTTCAGATGCAGCCCATTGCAGTAAGTGTCCAGATGACCAGTATTCCAATGAGCAGCGGAATCAATGTGTCCCAAAAAGTGTAAGCTTTTTGTCTTATGAAGAAATGTTGGGTCTCATCTTGGCTTTCTTTGCTCTTGCTTTGTCCCTCATCACTATCTTTGTCCTGGGAATCTTCATTAAACACCGAGAAACTCCCATAGTCAGAGCTAACAACCGGGACCTCACCTATACTCTCCTGGTGTCCCTCCTCCTTTCCTTTTTGGCCTCCCTTCTATTTATTGGTCACCCCAAGAAAGTGACCTGTTTTGTTCGACAAACCATTTTCAGTGTTGTCTTTTCTGTCGCTGTGTCTTCCTTGCTGGCCAAGACTGTCATGGTGGTGGTAGCATTCCTTGCCACAAAGCCAGGCAGTAAGATGAGGAAGTGGCTTCGGAAGAGTCTGGCAAACTCCATTGTTTTATTGTGCTCTGGTGTTCAGGTATGCATCAGTATCATATGGCTGGGATTTTTCCCCCCATTTCCAGATTCTGACTTTCATTCCCAACCAAGACATATCTTGATACAGTGTAATGAAGGCTCAGTTACCATGTTCTACACTGCCCTTGGCTACATGGGCTTTCTGGCTGCCATCTGCTTCTTGGTGGCTTTTCTGGCCCGCAAGCTTCCAGGGACATTCAATGAAGCCAAGTTGATCACCTTCAGCATGTTGGTTTTCTGCAGCGTTTGGATCTCCTTTGTCCCTACTTATCTGAGCACCAAAGGGAAATACATGGTGGCAGTGCAGATCTTCTCCATCCTGGCCTCCAGCCTGGGTTTACTGGGCTGCATCTTTGTCCCCAAATGCTATATTATTATTCTCAGACCTTCTATGAACACCAAGGAGCATATGATGATGAAAAACAATGAGGCCTCCTGATATTGGTGCTTTTTTAAAATTACAACTTACAGGCAGTATAAAATAATTTATCTTGGAAGTAATTATTTTCATGAGTTGTAGCTTATCTTTCTTCATTCCATGTGAATTTTGAATGATGATAATTGATTAATAAAGTTGCTGAAACAACTCAACTGTTTTCAAGTTCTTATATTGTTTTGCTATTGAAATTCATGTTAACTGAAATGAAGCCAGGTAAACTATTATCAGAGATGTTCTGCATGATGTAGTTTTAGAGGAAGTCAACAGCTATGGCTAATTATGATGAGAGTTTCTGTTATTATATTTTGAGATTACATCTTATTTGCTTGAAATTTCTTCTGAGATTTAATTTTTTTATCAGTTTCCAATATATATTTGGCTGAAGGATAGGTGACAGGGTTGCAGGAAGACACCCCGCCCCCGGAACTGTAACACATAATTTTCCTCCCATCATTTTTTTTTCTCCACTAATTTCTTATCTTTTTTGTTCACATTGGCAAGTAGGTCACAGATGGCTAATAGGCACATCTTCCTTAGTGCCGCTCTGTACTCCACTCTACACTTGTACTTTACAGCTGGGATTCTGAATCCAGATCCCCATATCTGACAGGCTCCAACTGATTTGAATGTTCCTTAGCCATGTCAGGTCTGAAGTTGCCAAATAGTCTTCAAAGAGACATTCACGTACAGTGCTTTGAAAGAGTTCAAGCAAGTCTGTGGAGATTCTCAGTCATCCAGATCATGGTTGTCCCAAAGGTGCTTTTTCAAAAGGACTTTGTTTTTCCTTGAAGATGTTTCACTTCTCATCCAAGAAGCTTCTCCAGTTATAACTCTGCCTTCGATCATAACTCTTGATCCCTGCTGAAAGAGGAGGTAGTACTCATGACTAAGAGCAGGGGTGTCAAACTCAATTTCATTGAGGGAGGGCCGCATCAGGGCTGTGGTTGACCTTGGGGGGCTTGGGTGGGTGTGGCTGACTGGGTAGGTGTGGCTGACTAGATAAGCATGGCCAGCTTGATGCCATTCCCCGAACTGCTGGCATGTTTCCTCTTTGCATTGAGTAGACCGTTCCAAAGCCATGCTGGCATAATTGGGTAGAACGGGCTGAAGCTACATTGACCTAATCTTTCCTCTCTGCATTGGGTAGACCAGGCTGAAGTGATGCAAGTAGACCAGAACAGCCCTGCAAGCCAGATCCAACCATATTTCTGTTTGTCCCCACCTGTATGAAATTCAATGTAGAGAAAAGTAAAGTCCTACACTTAGGCAAGAAAAGCCAATAGTACACATACAGACTGGGTGAAACCCAGCTCAATAGCAGTAACTGTAAGAGGTATCTTGGAGTCCTAGTGGACAACCAGCTAAATATGATTCAGCAGTGTGCAGCAGCAGCCAAAAAAGCTAATACAATCCTAAATTGTATTAACAGTGGGATACAATCAAGATCAAGGGAAGTACTAATACCACTCTATAAAGTCTTCATAGGACCACACCTAGAGTACTGCATCCAGTTTTGTTCACCACATTATAAAAAAGATGTTGAGTCTCTAGAAAAAGTACAGAGAAGAGCAACCAAGATGATTAGGGGACTGGAGGCTAAAAGATACAATGAACGGTTGCAGGAACTGGTCTTGGCTAGTCTAATAAAGAGAAGGACCAGGGGACACATGATAGTGGTCTTCCAATATTTGACAGGCTGCCACAGGGAGGAAGGGGTCAAGCTATTTTCTAAAGCCCCTATAGGCCAGACAAGGAGTAATGGCTGGAAACTGAACAAGAAGAGATTTAACCTAGAAATAAGGAGAAACTTTCTGACAGTGAGAACAATCAACCAATGGATTGCCCTTGGAAGTTGTGGGAGCGCCATCACTTGAGACTTTCAAAAAGAGATTGGACTGCCATTTGCCAGAAATGGTGTAGGGTCTCCCGCTTGGGCAGGGGGTTGGACTAGATGACCTACAAGGTCCCTTCCAAATCTGATTACCTGTTATCTGTACTGTCTGAATTGCCAATTATTGCTCAAATCTTCTTTTTTATCATATTGGTCATTCTGTATTTCTTCCTTTCTTTTTTCCCCATTCTTCTTCCTTTCTATTGCCACATTCAAACTTTATATACCACCCTTATTAATTCCCTTCCTTCTACTCCCTTCCTTATATTTCCCTTATTAACTTCCTTCCCTCTACTCTGCCTATCCTCTGTTTACCTGTCCTTTTAGGCTGAGCTAGTGAAATAATACCTGGATTTTAGAAGTCTCACAAACAGGAAATCCTTTCTTCCTAAATTGTATTCCTTGGATTTCTTTGCTTCCCATTTTAAAGAATAACTAATTCTTCCATCATTCATTGTGGTGATATGCCTTTGTGGCCATCGCATGCCACTACTCTACAATCTTGGGTCGCAGTCAAGAAAATTCAAGAACTCAATGATGCAAGTAAAAGATATGAGGCCAGAGAAAATGGCTTAATTCCTCCCCAAGCAGAATCTCTTGTAATTCGCATATATAAACCATCATGGATAATCTCTGAAACTTTTTTTAAATGGATACCATTTAGCTCTGTGGAAATTAAATTGTTTCCCATAATCCAAGGTTTGAAATTAATTTACTTAGAAAGTAATCTGAATATATGCTTTCAAAAGAAGTATTGAAAATAACTGAACTTTAACTGTCGTTTGGGTTCAGGGGAAGACTTGGGAGTTACTTTTTGTTGACTTTCTGTCAGGATTTTCTTCGGAAGATTGGAAGTAATTTGCTAATGCTATCTTACTAGGACTGGTCCAAAGTCACCCAGTTGGTTTCGGCCCAAGGCAGGAGTAGAAATCAAGTTTCTTGGTTTCTAGCCTGGTACCATTTACCACTATACCATTTCACCAAATTGGCTCTGAAGCCAAGCTTATTTTCATGGCTGCCGTTCTGCTAAGCAACACAGTGCAAGCTGATAGCCTGACATGAGAAACAGGGAGGAGAGGGCAGTGAGGGAGGGGAATGGAGGGAGGAAACCAGGAGGCATAGAATCTAAGCTGAACACCAGCCGAATGGTGAGAAGCACCAGCCGATTCAAGGTCATACACCAAAGAATGCAGAGCTGGTGAGCATGTGAAGACAGGGACCGTTTTCTAAATAATTTGTAAACACCTAATTGTACAGTGACTGATAACCAGGGGGCTGGCTGAGGACAAGGGAAAGTTAGCTGTATCCTTTCCTCATGAAAATCTCTGATCCAGCTTTGCCTTTTCTGCATACTTTTGGCTAATTATGGGACAAGAGTCTTTTTTTTCCTAATGGACCAAGTGGGACAGTTGACTTGTGTGCCATTGTAAATCAAGTTTATTGAGATTTGGCTGTTAAAGAGATCTTTTATTGTTACTACAGAGTTTCATTCTCAAAATGAACTAATCAATATGTAAAAGACAGCACTTCCTATTATCTTTAATTCAAAATATAAAGTATTGAGATTAAATTATTCACAGCAACACATATTGTATTCAAACCAATCTATATCATCTCCAGAAAAAAGAGGGAGGGGGTTAAATAAATTGTAAAAAGATCCAGAAACAAATAACTAAGTAAAAGTTATAATTGTGCAACTACAGCTATTCAAAATCTATATGAAATAGAAAAAGATACCAAAACCAGATCATCATTAGCAATAGATTGTCATCTCATCTAAAAATTATTTTGAGCAAAAATGTTTTATAATTCTGAAATATGTTTCAGAAAATATATTACTATTAGTGATTATTTGTGATTCAGGAAACAAAACTATAATAAAATAAATTAATGATTTAAAAGAAATTTGTCCTCTTATATATCACTTCCATTTGACACAGATTAAAAGCTCACACTGGAGAAACAATTGTTAAAAAAACATAAACATGTTTTTTATTACTTCTATGCCATCTTATTTTATATTACAGTACATTGTTAAAAAAAATCCAAACAAAAATAAGAACAAAATCAAGAGCCCTCCTAGTTTTTCATCATCAGATGCTCCTTCACATTCATATCCGGTCTCAGTATAATGATGTAGCATTTGGGAATAAAGATGCAGCCCAATAAGCCCAGGCTGGAGGCCAGGATGGAGAAGATCTGCACAGCCACCATGTATTTCCCTTTGGTGCTCAGGTAAGTGGGGACAAAAGAGATCCAAACACTGCAGAAAACCAACATGCTGAAAGTGATCATCTTGGCTTCATTAAAGGTCTCAGGCAGCTTTCGAGCTAGGAAAGCCACCAAGAAGCAAATAGCAGCCAGAAAGCTCATGTAGCCTAGGGCAATGTAGAACAAGATGACTGAGCCTTCATTGCACTGCAGCAGGATCTGTCCTGGTTGGGAATATAGGTCAGAATCAGGGAATGGAGGAGAGATTCCCAGCCATAACAGACAGATGCCCACCTGAACACCAGAGCAGGAGAAGATAATGATGTTGGCCAGAGTTTTCCCCAGCCATTTTCTCATTCTGCTTCCTGGCTTTGTAGCCACAAATGCTACCACCACCATGACAGTCTTAGCCAGCAAGGAAGACATGGCAATTGAGAAAACTATGCTGAAAGTGATTTGTCGAAGAAGGCAGGTCACTTTTTTAGGTCGACCAATGAATAGAAAGGGGGTCAAAAAGGAAAGCAAGAGGACAATCAAGAGTATGTAGGTGAGGTCTCGATTATTGGCTTTGACAATGGGAGTTTCTCGGTATTTAATGAAGATTCCCAGAATAAAAGCAGTGATTATGGATAAGGTAGTGGCAAAGAGACTCGGGAGGAGACCAAGTGTTTCTTCATAGGATAGGAAAGTTATAACTTTGGGGACACAGTGATCTTGTTTCTTATTAGAATGCTGATCATCTGGACATTTTTTGCAGTGGGCTGCATCTGAAAAACACAAACAACTTAGGGCATTCTGCAATTTTGTAGTGTGATATGACTAGAAGACTAAAGAGTTATTCATTATCATAATGCCTGCTTTTTCCCCGAAAGGTTTGACTGATTATTAATCACTGTAAAAATCTGATTCCCATTTTTAGGAATGCCCATACATATTTGGCTGACCAATGAATAGAAGGAAAGGCAAGAAGCAAAGCAATAGAGAGACTCTGAAAATATATATAAAATTCCAGTTGTTCGCTTTGACTATGGAAGTTTCGCGGTATTTAATGAAAATGTGTAGAATAAAGCCAGTAGTTAGGGACAAAAATCAAGGTAGAAATAGCCAGGATGAAATCTAAGGTTTCTTCATAAGACAAAACTTTATAGTCTTTGGATCACACTAATCTCAGTTTTCACTGGAATGATGAGTTAGAATTTGTTGCAGAAATCACTTCCAGAAAGCACACACAGATAACTGATTCAGTAGGATTCATTAACTTCTTTATATATATATAAAACACATAAGTAAATGTACAGTACCGATGTACGTTCTTCCAATGTGGTAGTAGTTACAGGCAAAACACAAATAGAGGAGAGAACAGTTTCAGTTTTCATTCAGAGTTGCAGACTAGACCAGACTTGTTTGCAGCTTCAGAGCTCAGAGCCACGCCCAGGCTCCTTCCAGTCTCAGCTCCCAAACAGCCCTCATTGGCTGACTTATTGGCTATACCCATACATTGGCTGACCTTGTTACCATGTCCTATTCCATCCAGTCCCCAATGGCTGACCTGTTGCTCTGTCTATCCCAGTTCATGAATATTCTGACATGATGGTCATTTGGACACTTTTTACAATGAGCTGCATGCAAAACACAGAAACAACTTTTTGCTCAATTAACACCTATCTTGTATTCATAAGCATCCACATGTACTGTATGTGTCCAACAATCTCACCCATATTCTAATGTTTGCCCCTCCAGTGAGGCCCAAATAATCATTTTGTTCAAAATTCTGGATAACCTCAGGAATCCTGTGGAACACCTTCATATTTATCATGTTGAGGTCAACTTTTATACTATAATTAATTATTACTATAATTAATTAATTAACTACAATATAACTATAAGCTGCCTGGAATGACCTTTGATCATGAATTGGGCAGCATATGAAATTAATAAACAAATAACTATGTGATCTTGTTATTAAATTCATTCCAGTTAACTTTGCAAGAAATAGTCATTGTTACCTTTATAAGATTTTCCTAGTTTGCATTTAGCCCCAGAAAAATCTGAGTGACTTTATTCTCCAGATTTCTCTTCACTGTGGTCCATTACAATCCATTGTTCTCTTAAAGTCTTCCATTAAGAACAGAAGTAATTGCTTAGCTGGATCCTCAAGCGCTGTTTTGCTTTAGAGTAACTTACCTTCTTGCATGGAAATTGTTCCTTCTATACACTGGGAACAGTCATAGCAGCAGATGGGTGCTCCCTCTCTTATGAGCTTGGTGTATCCTGGGTGACAACTTTCAGTACATCTAGACAAAGGGGACGTCTAAACATAAAGGTCAAAAGCAAATTAGGAGTTATTTTTATGAATGGCAATTAATCACAGAATGGGTTTCTACCATCCTGGTATTCAGCTGGTTCTGACCGGTTCTGGCATACCAGTAGGAAAAATTTTGACTGGTTCAGAGAACTGGCAAATGCCACCTCTGGCTGGCCCCACCCACTGACCCCCACTCTTACCTCTCCTATATTCTGTTGTTTATTAGCTCAGCTGATTCACATAGAGTGGATTGCCATGCCTCAGCTGAGCACAGCACAGTACAGTGAGCACTCTGAACCAGTAGGATTTTTTTTTTGAAATCCACCACTGGTTTCCACCCTGGACTAAACTAATCATATAATCTCTTAATATAATCAATGCTTTTTACACAGTTTGTGTTTGTTTAATTTGAACAAGGCTTGGGTCAGAACAATAGCAGGATTTGGGATAGAGCAAAGAGAAGCTATATTTCAGCTCATTCATGACTTCTTAATCCAAACTGGTAAAGAACCTATACTTGGCAAATATCCTGATTATATACACCAGTCAGGTCCGGATCATAAAAATCAAGAATATGTTTCAAGGTTGCTTTCCAACTTTAAAAAGTTGGAAAGCGAAAATATTATTTTCAGAAGCTTCTTCAGAACAAAAGAAGTTCCTTGCATGAGAAACAAAATATTTTCAAAGAAAAAAAAAACAAGAAAGTCAAATTGCCTTTTGGGAAAGCACCTTTGGGACAACCATGACCTGGATGACTGAGAATCTTCATAGATATTATTCATTTTCAACCTCATACTCCTTTTCTCAAGCAACCCTAGAAATAGTTTAGTTCTAGTTCTTGTTTTAGCTCTACTTCTAGATATAGATCTATAGCTCTAGATATCGATGGCATGCATTATTAGTTAAATAATAAAACAAAAAACAATCAATTATAGGTACCATGTTAAATGATATTGGCCATATAATGGCACTTTGATCAATGGAGACCTTGACTTTTGAGGAGGCCTCACTTTCTGTACTTCCAATTTTCACCCCAGAATTAGATTTATTGGGAAACACAGCCCACTGTATGATGTCAAAGCCAGCATCTGGAGTTCCATCTTTGTCCAAGTAACCTCCATCCACAGAAAAATTTGAAAGCTGGAAGTTTTTCAGGAATGGGTGAAGCTGTAAATGTATGGAGAATCAGACCTGTAACTTATATATTCCACTTTGAACCTTGATCTGTTTTCTTTGTGACTATTATTATGGGTTAGGACTGATCTGAATAATTCTTCTTCAACTCAGTGCTTCTGTCAGGAAAGATACTTGGGATTTTAAGGGAAGTTTTTCTCCTTTCTTCCACAAGGAAAGCAAGATCTTGTTTAGATGTGTCTTGTGTGATATTTGAATGAATCACTATTTGTCACTGAACATTTTAGTGTCCATGAGAACTTGATCTCTCAGAAGAATAAATCTGATAGTATAAATATTTTGTCCAAGCAATGTTCTCATGTAAGATCATTTAATTTTTGAGGTTATACTTTAATGTCTTTGAATCTCCACTATCTCTATCTCACACATCAAATGAAATCAGTGAAACTGACATAGTATGATGATTCTTGCTACCTGAAACTGTTGCTGATCCTATGCTCATTTCCTTGAGCCAATGAGCAGAGTCCTGAGATGATGGACAAAACTTTGCATCCAAACCCACTCCATTCCTGTTCAATACTATCACTGGAGGAAGATTTTCTTTCTACCTGGTGACATGTAGAAGAAGAAGGACATCAAAGCTGGAGGAATTTACCAGCCCCTTTGCTCATTATGCTTTTAGTGGCAAAATCAAGATTGCATAAAATAGAATAACCAAGTTTGAAGGGACTTTGGAGGTCTTCTAGTCCAACCCCCTGCTTAAGTTGGAAACCCTATACCACTTCAGACAAATGGTTATCAAATCTCTTCTTAAAAACTTCCATTGTTGGAGCATTCACAACCTCTGGAGCAGTGGTGGGATTCAATGTTTTTTACTACCGGTTCTGTGGGCATGGCAGTGGAAGGATACTGTAAAATACTGTAAAATCTCCAGTCAGAGGTGGGATTTGCTGGTTCTCCGAACTACTCAAAATTTCTGCTACCGGTTCTCCACAACTGGTCAGAACCTGCTGAATACCACCTCTGCTCTAGAGGCAAGTTTTTTCTCTGATTAATTCTAACTGTCAGGAAATTTCTCTTTAGTTCTAGGTTGCTTCTCTTCTTGATTAGTTTCCATTGCTTCTTGTCCTATCCTCAGGTGCTTGACTCCCTATTCTTTGTGGAAGCCCTTGAGATATTGGAACAACTACTATTATGTCTCCCCTAATCCTTCTTTTCATCAAACTAGACATACCCAGTTCCAGCAACCATTCTTTATATGTTTTAGCCTCCAGTCCCCTGATCATCTTTGTTGCTTTTCTATGCACTCTTTCTAGAGCCTCAACATCTTTTTTACATCATGGCAACTAAAACTGGATGCAGTATTCCAAGTGTGCCTTACGAAGGCATTATAAAATGGTATTATTAACACTTCCCATGATCTTGATTCTATCCCTCTGTTTATGCAGCCTAGTATCATTGGGAGTATCATCGGGAGTATCATCGGGAGTATCATCGGGAGTATCATTGGGAGTATCATTGGGAGTATCATTGGGAGTACATCAGGTCAGAGGCAGGCTAGGGATTATCAATTGGTGCAGAAATTTCATGTGAAACTTTTTTCGTCAAGGATGATGGAGGTAGGCCCTTTTCTTGGGTACTGCCACATTTCATTGTTTTATCAAACCAACAGAGAGAAAGACATGAGAAAAAGAAGAAGGTCTGCAGAAGTAACAGAGCTTGCATACAACTAAACATTTCAGTATTTGATTTAAAAAGAAGAGAGGAGAGAAGAAGGAAGTTGGGATCTGATCCTAAATTGGTGATGGAGGGTTCTATATGTTCCTGGAATATAGGAGGCTTGATCGCATTGCTGGATTTGTTCTCATATCTAGCCCTACAGATCAACAGTTTATCTGATTTGTTGGTCCCCAAAAGCCTGGAAAGATGCACTGGTTTTATATCATCTGGCTTTCTAAGGCAGGGGTCTCCAACTTTCGCAACTTGAAGACTTCTGGACTTCATTTCCCAGAATTCCTCACCCACCAAAGCAAAGCTGGCTGAGGAATTCTGGGAGTTGAAGTACAGAAGTCTTAAAGTTGCCAAGGTTAGAGACCCCTGTTCCAAGGAATTCTTCAGGAGGAAAAACTATGTTTAGTCCAGAACTCAAAAAGACAACTATATTTTGGGACTGGAGACTAGAAAAGATGAAGGTTGCATGATCCAGGGAATCACTTTCACCCCAACAGATTGCTGCCTCATCTATCTGATGCTTATTTAATCTAAAAATGGGGGAAAATCTTCCTTTCTGTAGAGTTACCCATCCCTGTTATCACTACATTGAACCCACACAAATGGCTCTTGATGGGAAACAGTTGAATTCCCTCCTCTCAATATGCCTCCACATCTCATAGAACAAACACCAGAGATGGGAAAGTCTTCTTCAGAACACTTGTCCTCCCCAGCCCTGCTGACCTCCAATTGAAGGGGGACCATCAGTGAAAAGATGAAGTCCTACCTGCCATGGCTGTATCATCTGGGGTCCAAGTTGCCTCCTCTTCTGGCCCAGTTGGGAGGTATGGGCAGCATTGAGGACCCAGGACACTGCCTGAATTGCAGTGGGAATACTATAGGCATCCTGGGACAAGATTTTTGCGATAATATCAGCAGATGTAATTTCCCAGGTCTCTTTTATTGTGCATCGTTTCCAAACCTTCCTTGACAGCTCAGAGCTTGAATAGGAACATTGAAATGTTGACTGTGCTATGATCTCAAAAGCAAATAAGTCAGAAGGAGCAGGATTGTATGAGGTTCCTGTCTTTGTCTTAATTACGAATGATAAAAAAGCATGCTTGTGGTGGAGATCAACGATCCTGTATAGCAATGTCACACTAAGATCTGACAAGGCTGTTACAATCCACACTTTCCCAATGACTAATTTTTCTCTCCTGTCCATGATTCTGATTATTAACCCCAGTGATGTTACAGTTTTCAAGTCCAATTGAGAAACAATTGCATTTACGTTACTCTTTCTCAAGTATAAAAGCAGGTCTTTTTCCTTTTCAAAATTGAGCACCGGGATGCTTTCTGAGAAGGCAACGCAAACTCCTTTCTTGAGGGCTGCAGGCACAAATGTCTTTCTGAACTTTTCCCCATTTTCATTGTCTGGTGCAAGGAGGCAGATCCAGGTCCATTGGAAATGGAGGAGTAGCTTGACAATCACCAAGTGAGGAGGTTCTTGTCTTGGACCCAACCGGTAAGAGAAAGGAAAATGATACTTATGCTCAGAAGCATGACTGATGATCCCATAGTTGATCTAAAATGAAATAGAAAAGCTGAGTGATTCTCTTGCTACTAGAGATAATATTCAATTGCCAGAAACATTCCAGAAAATAATACCAGCTCAAAATTTGAGTTCTTCTTGCTGGTCTTTTTCCAGCCTCTCTTGTCTCTGATCAAGTCATCGTAGTTTTTTCCAAGAAAATAGGTGATTAAACATAAGTTTTACCCCTTTGAAGGAGTAAAGAGAAGGGAAACAAAATTTTAACATTGTGCATTTATTCTTCCTTCATTATTTCTTTTGCAGGTTGATCCTGATCATTCTTTCCAGTCCACCAGAATGCACATCTTTAACTTTGTGTAGCAATCTGTCTCTAATCTGCATTTTTTTTCACCCCCTGACTTTTTAATTCACCAAGTATCCTTTTTCAAACTTCATATTTGCTTGTCTTCCGGAGCACTCTATGGTGTAATTTCTTTTGTTCTTTTCCAAGCAGCTTTCAAATTCCTTTCCCTTACATCCACGTTCCATTCCTTTTACTATTGTTTCAAAACTGCTTCACACAAAGATGCCAAGTAAATGAAAAGAAAAATGTAAAAACATTATGAAAAGAAAATTCTTACAAGGCTTTTGACCTTTTCGATGGAATTAGCAGCGATGGCTATATTGACTGCTTTAATTAAAGAAAATAACACAGCAAACTTCATTTCCTTTTTGAAACCACTTCTTGAGGTGGAAAAAAATGAAACTTTGGGTTTTGCTAATTAGATAGATTTGTTGTTATAGAAATGGCTAATATATATTACTGGGTAAAAGTAATTGTTAGAGTTATTCTCTTATTCTACTGTGCTAAAAAGAATCAGAAGACAATGCTTTTCTTTCTTTTTACCTTTTTACCCTACACTTTCCTCTTCCCTTCCCCCTTGCTTTCCCATTATTTTCTTTTTGTCGTTGTATTTTACATTGTGATAAACTAATAAAAAATTAAATGGCAAAAGTCTTTTCATCTTTAATATCTGGCCTTTGATTCTAAATTTATTCAGTGATCTCCACCAAGATCTATTTCTGGACACCTTCGGAAAAAGTTGCAAAGCGAACATAGCTTCAATTATATCCATACCTGTGGGATCTTGTAGGTCCCCAACATAGCTGCAACATAATTAAAGAGCTCAGAATCTGTCTCTTCCAGAACAGCCAACACACTTTTTTGCCTTCCACACCTGTAGTTTGGGACAGTCTGTTGCCCCATGGAGAGCAAATCTATCATGGCTTCATGGGTTATTCTTTCATTGAAATAATTCTCATATATGTTGTAGCTCAGGGTGATGTTGGGTAACAGCCTCGGATTCTGATTGATTTCACGAATAGTAAAGAGGAAGGACAAGATATATGAGAATCTTACCGTGTCCATACTGCAACATAAGAGATATCAGTGGATTGTCAGAAAATACGACTTCAGCAAAAGAGTATTCAATGCCTGGAACTCACTACCTGACTGCTGTTACATCCTCAAACCCCCAAACTTTAACCTCAATCTGTCTACCATGGACCTCACTTCATTCCTAAGAGGTCTGTAAAGGGGTGTGCATAAGCACACCAGCATGCCTACCATCCCTGTCCTACTGTTCCCATTGATTCGTACTCATTTATAATGTATATACGTATACCTGTTTATACTTATATGTTTATATGTTATGTTCATACTTATACTTGTTTTCTCATACATGCTTGACAAACAAACAAATAAATAAAAATAAAATAACAGTAGAGTCCCCTTGACATCAATGGGGCTTCTTCTCACAACAAATATTGTAAGAGGAAGAAATGTTTTTTACATCAAGCAAAATTATCCTCACAGAAAGAAGCTTTGAGTGAGGGAGACAACATGAAAAAGAATTCCTTCAGCAAAATGAGCATATTCATATTAAGTCAAAGGAAAAATATCCAAGTAGACAGATTTCTTAGTAAATACTGTTTATCTGTGATTCAAACTAATGTTTGTATAACCAACCAACTATTCAATTAGTCCCTTTTTCAGGGATAGATAGCTGGAGGAATCAACATTCCGAAGAGGCTTGTATTTGTTATTTTATTTCTTGTTTACAGACTTAAATATTCAAACTGATTGGGGTTGAGTATAAATAAAACAAGTCAAATGTACCAAAATGCTTTGTTGCACAATAGTGCTGCTTTATTGCTCTATAACTGTCAGCTCTAGAGCTCCAGAGGCTTTTTCTGCACATTATTCTACTTTTATGACAAAATGCTCTTTCCTTGGTAAGCACATACATTCAGCTCAGCGGTGTTCTCTTCCAAATTTGTTGTTTTTAACTGTTCATTTAATTTAAATAAAATTAATTTAACTAGGAAATTCAAAGATTTGCAGAGGGGGGTAGAAAAGAAGGAAGGAAGGAAGGAAGGAAGGAAGGAAGGAAGGAAGGAAGGAA